CCCAGCTGAGAACTGCTCTATACCCATATAAACATTGTTCCCACCACCTAAATAATTTCCTCCATCTCGGCAGAAAACTCCTACTCTCTCTTCAAGGTCCATCTTACATGCTATCTCCAGTGTGAACTTCGAGTCACAGTTAGCAATCCGTTCCTCTCATACCACCTACCTTCTTGTTTTTCTATTCGATTACATAAGAATATATATGTTCTGTTTTCCTGTATAGATAACAAGGACCTCCATCTTATTTATTCACTATAGTTTATTTATTTCATGTGTTCAGTAAAGGTTTATTAATAAATGATTATGAGCCTTCTTTTATAAAAGCATCCCTGAGATAAGCCTTCCACTGTCAAGGGAAAATTTGGTCCACTGAATGAGGTCTCACACCAAGCAATAAATAATTCTCCAGCTTTTTTCGTTTTATTTTGTTTTGTCTTTGCCCCTGGGAAATGGAAATTAAAAGATATACTCAATTTTAGTAAACCAAGGTCCTAGAAATATCTACTTCTCTGATATTTTTATTTGATCTTTGTGTAGATTTATCTTTGCATCACCTGTTAGGCAACATGTTTTGCCATCAGAAGTTTTGTCAAATTTGTTTTTGGAATGTGAACAGTAAAACTTGGAAACAAAGAAATATATACCAAGCAGGTAAATCTTAGAAACCAAACTAAGGAAAAACTTAGAAACATAGAAATGCAAACCAAAAATTCATACCATGAAGATCATATTTCAGGAATAAAAATGAGCCTAGCTGGTGTGGTTCAGTGGTTGAGTGTCAACCTATGAACCAGGAGGTCACAGTTCGATTCCTGGTCAGGGCACATGGCTGTGTTGTAAGCTCGATCCCCAGTAGGGACGTGCAGGAGGCAGCCAACCAATGATTTTTCTCTCATCATTGATGTTTCTCTTTCTCTCTCTCTCTCTCTCTCTCTCTCTCTCTCTCTCTCTCTCCCCCTCCCTCCCCCCTCCCTCCTTCCCTCTCTGAAATAAATAAAATTATGTTTAAAAAGCATACAAATGAAAAAGAATATAATAATGTTCACTAACACAAAAGAGTAATTTCCAACTTGATTTTATGTTAAGTCAGTATCTCTCTAGCTTTTTCAAGTGATGTCAAAATTTTCAAGGAAAAATCTGGTTTAATTGTGTGTATATATGCATTATGCATCTAATTCTAGATGATATGTATAGGAGCCAAGACTTTTCTGGGAGAAAGCTGAATGAACCAGAAGCCTGGAAATATCAAACAACAAGAACAAAAACAAAAAAGAGAGTGTTACTCTCCAAAAAAACCTGAAAATCATTACAAGGAGAGCCCTCTAGAATATTCAGAGCCTCGGAGCTTGGTTCTCACATTAGCAGCTCTTGTAACCTGAATTACCCACATCATGTCTTCAATCTTACTGTTGGTCTCTGTTGCCATGACTTAAAAAAGAAAAACTCAGCAATATAAATTTTAAAAAATTAGTCCCAAATTTCTATGAACATGGATGGACCGTGAGAACATTATGCTAAGTGAAATAAATCAGTCAGAAAAAGCTAAGACCATATGATTTCACTCATATGTGGGATATAAAACTGAAACTCATGAACACAAACAGCACTGTGGTGGTTGCCAGAGGGAAGGGGGTGGAGGGAGATGGGGGTCCTAATATAAGGTAACAGGAGAAGATTTGACTTTGGGTGGTGGGCACATGGTGCAGTATACAGATCTTGTAACACAGAAACCCACACCTGAAACCTGTATGTTCATGTTGACCAATGTCACCCCAATCAACTTAATAAATACAATTTTAAAAAAATTAATAATTTTAATCCACAGTTTTCTTACAAATAACTCAGGGTAAAAGATGTTTGATTTAGTGCCTGTGGTCAATTCATAAGGCAAAGCAATTAATTCATCAAGAAAGTAACATGCACCTATACCGGACTGGAGAAACATCATAGAATAAATATGCAAATCCAATTTTCTCATGGCTGACAAATTCCTATTATCAAACTGCTAACGTGTTTATTTGCCCCTCAATGGCTGGATTTTTGTCATGAATACACATTGAGCTCCGCAGTTATTAGCTGTGATGGCTAGGTGACAGGGAGGACACTACAGTAGAATTTGTACTTGACAGATCATTGACACACAGTCCCATTTCTCTTTTCTCCTTCTCTTCACTTAACAGGAATCATGCAGTAGGAAATAAACTGGAGCCATTAGCGATTATTCAGGTTTAATAGCACACATCCTTTTAGCTGGCGGTTAGAACAATACACAGTGTGGCAGAGTTAAACAGAGGCATCAATTATACTCTCAGACCTGTTAATATTTTTGACAATATTTAAATAGCACATCCCTTCAGGGCATGGCTTTCTTTGCCCTCTCAGTTACACACCTGTCAAGTGCTTAATTTGCCAAAGGGAAACAGTTTGATATCTAAGGGCAGTCTTAATACTGAAGAGCAAATTAGAAAAATTAAACATTATTGAATACAAGTAATGAGGAGGATCTGAGGGGAAGAAATAGTAGGCTTAATTCAACATGGCATGTCAGCATCTGTCGGTAAAGCAACAATATGATCATGTTCTCCAATATGCTGCATTTACCTTAAGCTTTTGAATTATTCACTTCCTTTGATTTTTGAAAAGACGGGAGAATTATGGTGAAGAAAAATCAGAGGGGTCCAATATACCAATACTAAAAAAGACGATGATAGTCACTTGCACCTATTGTGCATATAAAAAGATACACCTGAAAAGATAATTTAGGACCAGACTAAACAAAAGCTAGCCATTGATCAGATCTGTGTAGCTACTGATTTCAAAGCACAAAAAACTTCATTCCTTTGATGAACTAATTAAACTACAAATATTAACAAATTACTAGTTGGAAAACTATATGGAAAATTTAAATCTAACATAAAGTTTAGAATATTTTTGTTTAAACTTTAAAACAAAAAATAATACAAATTTTTGAAATGTTACTCTAGCCATACAAGAAAAAAAAATCTGGTTCAATAAACAAATGAAGTTGAATTAGTAAAGAATGGAGACTAAAGTGACAATTCAAAACAACTGGGAACTTATCAGTGGTTTTAACAGAAGTTAAACTTTTATCAGCTAACCACCTTCCTTTGGGGGAGAGTGGATGATGTGAGACAGGCTGCAGAGTTCAAAAAGGGTTAAAAAGGACGAGTTCTAGTTCTAGTCACACAATCTCTCTAAGCTGTTGTGATAAACAGGGTGTTGGCCACATGGTCCTCCTTGGCCCCTTACAGTACTTGGACAGGTGAACAAAGAGCCAAAAGTCCCAAGGCACATAAGACATGCCTATAGAATTCACCAACCTCACAGCTTACTTAGTCCTGAAATGTATCAGCATCTAGTATTGTGCGCCATACATTCCCAAGGACGATGCAGCTGAATCATGTGGGGCCCATATCCTACTTCTACCTGGAAATGGTAAAACAAGTCCACAACAAGTAGGCCTCTTTCTCCCTCCCTTCCATAGACCTGGTAAGTACAAACACTATTCCGCTTACATGAGGCTGACTAGAAGGGGTATTTTGACAGTTATCTCATTGGGCTTGTAGTATTTCCTGACATACTTACTAGTACTTTTTATTTCAACTTTTCCTCTCATTCTAATCATACCTTCATACTACAATGAGGGGAGAAGACATCTGCTCAACTTCACACACTCTGAATAATAACCAGGTAGTTTTCCACATCATAATCACACCTACATTCAGGATATTGGTTCTCCAAAACCTCACCCATCTATTCTGAAAACGAGTACCTAAAACCAATCTGTTCAATAACTTGCAAAGGGGACAAATATGACTGAGTATAACAAAAACATACCTTCTTCTTAATTCATGATAATGACTTTAAAAATCACTACATAGAAACTCACTAGAGAAAAAGATTTTTAAAGATTCTTCCTGATGTTTTGACTACCAAAATATATAGATTAAGAATTTTCATGACATTAAACAAATTCCTTCTCTACCGCTACTATTGTTCTTTTTGCATTTGGCACATTCTTTTTAGGTTTTTTTTTGGTGTGTTTTTTTTCATTGGAGCTGAACTTTCACTGGATTATAAAACTAGTCTTCAAGTTTCATTTTTCACCTTTTAAGGCAGAATGATTGCTAGCAAGTCATCCATTACCATTAAAGTAATGTGAAAAATATTAGAATGGGAGTTAGCTTGGAATGGAGGCATTGACTGACTTTAAGCCTTGTGAGGATAATAACAATTTTAAAAATATATTCTTTAAACCCTGAGAAATGGCAATTAAAATAAGTAAATTCAAAGAACAGCTGACTTCAATTTTCATTCTGTCATTGTGATATGTTTCGGTTTTAATATAAATGCTAGGACTTTTTAATGCTCATAATTTTTACAGAAAAAAATACTGTGTTATTACATTTAGAAGTTCCAGTGTTTGTCACCATCTGATGCTGTCACGAAAGGAATTGCTACTTACACTTCTTTAAGAAGTGAGAACTGCAATTCCTCTAACTGATGACAATGTAATTATTCCTTTTACTGTCAAAATAGAGGTGATTTCCCTTCCTCACACACGATTACACATGCAAATCCAGGCTTATCTGAAATCTTGTGAGTGTACTGAATGTCTGAGTCTGAAAGAGCAAGACCACAGGAACAATGAGCTGTGGTGATGATGGAAACCAAGTCTACAGCCATCCACCCTAAACATATTCTATCACCCCCTCCTCCTGTAGGGGCTCATTCTTTAGCATTCACACAGCTTTCAACACAATGTCATATCATCTACAGTATACAGCAACAGCCTTTACAAAAATAACTAGGGGGGGGAAAAGCCACAGTGAATCTGAGTGTCTCGTTTGGAGGTTTAAATGACTTCATTAACTATTCATTAACACATAGAAAAATCAGCTTTTCAGAACCACACAAGCCTTTCCCAAGATCTGTGCCATCCCGTGGACGCCTGCTTTGGGTGAAGGATGTCCTACCTGGTCTTTCAGCTGCTGTACAGAGGTCTGGAGGTTCAGAATCTGACTGAAGAGTGGGCTTTGCAAGACCGACTTCAGAAGGTTCAGCTTGTCTTCGTTTGCCACATCCCCACGCTCTCGCAGCTTGGCTTGCAAGCGCTCTGCTGCCTGCAGGGCCCGGTTTTTGTCTACACCAAAGAGCAGCATCCGTCAATAACAGGATCTAAACACACGCGCACATCACCCATGCTCATAGACATCCTAAAACTGTTCTTTTTGAGAGCATAAAACTGACTCAGAAAAAAAAAGAGGGACTGAAATGTGTCACTATAAACATATCCCGCAAACCTTGAGGTCTCTCCTAAGAGTCTGTTGGGAAGCAGGAGTTAGAGTGTAGGCTACACGCAGCTAATTGTAAAGTACAGAAACTAATTCGGGTAAAATATATTTGAGTTCTAAAGCCAGCTATTTGAACTTTTTAATAAAAACTACTGAAGACTAAATGCTCTGGGATCTTGCAAATGCTGACATTTTCACCTTTTAAAAATTTCATTTACACATAAGAAAAAACAGAAATATAACTAACTCACAAATAAGTGAGTGTGGATAATGTTATAATATCCAAAATATGACAATTTCATATCTTAAGAGCAAAGCATTCTATACTTGAGAATTTGCTTGAAAATACATCACAATAATGCATATCTCTTCAAAAACACCACTTTCTAATACTTCAACTGTTTTTCCAAAAATTTAAATAGCAAATTTACATATACATTATTGCATTATTATATACACATTATCACCAGAAACACTTTTTACGTATAATATTATTACCATGTTTCTCTTTTATTAGTGTAGATTATCACCAGAAACACTTTTTACGTATAATGTTGAAGGTGGAATTATACAGAAATTGGAAATTAAAACATGAATTAATGTTGACTGTGAGTTTACAAACATATACAAATTTAAACAAACAATATTTACTCATATGCAGAATTTTAAAAGCAAATAATGATAAAGAGACACATGAGAACTTTATTTTGGGTCATATTTCCTATGGTATCTCTGAATAAAAATCTAGTACTAATTCCCCTGTCACTTCTTGAAAGGTGTGCAACTTAGTAACAACCTGCAGAATAAAAATTAGAAAGAAATAATTTAATTTTAAATGTCCCCTTTGCTTTCCACTTTCTTGTGAGGAGGTTTCCTATGTGGAGAGCAGTCTTTATCATGTGGGGCTTTAGTATCAAATGGGTGCTGAAGGAAGTGTACACCCATGCATTTTCTTTTTTTATGATAAGGGGTGTGTATCGTGCACTGTGCTCCATGCATTTTCATTACTGGCACAGCACCAGGAACAGAAGTCACCGTAATGATTCCCATGATCAGAAAAACAGTTCCTTCTTTTTCTACCACCCACTCCCACCCTACCCCTCAATACACACAGCTGTCAGGACACCAGCAGCACTCATCAAGGTGCCAGACAGAAATCCAGATACCTTTCCACACTCACACCTGAGGGGTTCCCTGCAGTAGGTGCGGACTGTGGTGTCAGAGGAGGGACAGCAACTGGGTGTACCATACCTGACACACCCAAAACTAGTTCCACAAACCAGCTTCTCTACAGCTAAACAACAGTGTAAAAAAACTAACACATGATCTGGGGAAATCTGAATACTTCAACTTAAATGATCTCACGTAGAAATTAAACTGCCTTCTATCATCACTTAAGCTTGTCAGTCTACATTTTTGTTACTTATCTTTAGCAACTTAAAAGCAAGCACTCAGTAGTATTTTACCTGCTATAAAGTAAAAATATGGCATTGGAAATTATCTTTTTCAGTATTAAAAATACTGTTAAACTTTCTGGTGCTATTCAGAAATAAACATGAGCCAACATTAGGTTCATACACGATAAGTGGGTTTACATTAAGCATAAAACCCATAATTAGTAAAACATCTCATGTGCTTTTAACTTTTGCTTATAAATGTTTTGTAACACTTCAGATGAAATTGTCCAAATATAGAAACACATTACCTACTATCATGCTAGAAGATAAAGACTTTTAAAAACTAAGTTACGATAGATAGAATTCTGTTATATTGAATATACTGTTTTTCAAAGATCCTAGTGGAATGAGTTTCAATTTTTATAAAAATAGAAAGGAATAGATCTTACCTATCGTTTCTAACATTTTATTTTCGAAGTTCAGTGTTCTTCTCTATAGAGCAACCAAAATGGAACTCTAAGGAAAAAAGAAATAGAATGAAATGGTTATTTTTATCAGCAAATAGACTGAACGGCCGGACAACTGAACAACCAAACAACCAGTCGCTATGACGTTCACTGAACACCAGGGGGCGAGCGTGGAACATGGCGGGCATTGGCAGCAGGCAGAAGAGCATGGAACATGGCGGGTGTTGGCTGAGGCGGGATGGTGGAGCAGGTGAGCGGGGGCGCCAGACCACGGTAGGGTGCTGGTCACTGTCATTGGGGGTGAACCTCTGGTGGCTACTGAAAATTCTTTGCTCCCTCCTGTGTGCCACAGTCCCACCCAGTGCTTGCACTTGCTGTCAGCGCTGGCCCCGCTCGCACCCACTGCCGGCACCTGGCGCCAGTCCCGATCACTCGGCGCTGTCTGCGGGTGCGAGCGGTGGCTGCCAGCCCCGATCACCCCTGAGGGCTTCTCCACTTCTCCCTGCTCCTGAGGGGCAATCGGGGCAGCAGCAACCACTCACACCTGCTGAAGGCGCTGGCCCCGCTCGCACCCAGTGCTGGTGCTGGCCCCAATCGCTCTGAGCTGTAAGCAGGTGCAAGCGGGGCTGGTGCCGTCAGCATGTAGGGGCGGCAGTGCGGGAGCAGGGCTGCCAGCAGAGATGGGACTGGGGGCCGTGGCAGGATGGGCCAAGACCCACCCCTGTGCCCACTGCAGCCTCGAGGCCCACAGTTCCTCTCAAGGTGCACGAATTCCGTGCACTGGGCCCTAGTATATTATAAAAAGCACTTGATGCTATTATAATTCCTTTGACCATTAAAATCTTGTTGACTTATAAGACAGTTTCCTAATAGGCCAAACAAGTGATCATTTTAGGACTAATTCAAAATTATCTTTTATTTGCAGGTAATACTTGCAAAATAAGGCAAAATGTATGAAATATCTTTTAAAGAAGATGACAGACGTATCCAAATCTTTCCTTAAGAGCTCTTCAACACAGCGCACTAAAATCTTGGATTCCTTTAAAGATCCTTACCTACAGAGTAAGCTTACTAGACTCTGCATGAGAAATTCTGTGGGAAAAAATGACAACATAAAAGTAGAGGTGGCCCTAGCCTTGAATACTCAGTCTTAACTGGGGAGACAAGTCCATATATCCCAAGTAGAAATGAACTGTGACACTCAAGCAGAATGTGAGTCACTGGAATATAATACATAAAAGCAGAGATGAAAAACTGAGTACAAGAGTGTTAAATAAAAGAAGATTCTTCAAAAGTTTTCAAAATACCCTCCTGACTATAATATTCTCTTCCTTCCCATTAAAAAAAATAAATAAATAAAACTTCTCAACTCCTTCAATTAACACAGATCTCATCTTTCGTTGACAATGCTTATATAGACAGTTTAAAGTATGAATTCAGATCTCCACTGACAATGCCCACATCATCAACCCATCTTTAATCTTTGCTGTCCAACAATTTTGCACAATGTCTCCATAGTTACAAGTACCCTCTGTCTTATAGGAAACTGAGTCAATAATTCCTTCAATGGAGAAAATGAATCTCCCTGAAAAGGAACAAGAGTATTATTTCTTTAAGAGAAAATGCATTTAGAAGGAATGTGGTATATATGAACACATGTGTATGTGATGTATATGAACACATGCATAGACCATCAATGCCTGCAATTAGCTGTGTAATAACAGAAAACAGTACTTACTGACTTTCCTTACCTCAATTTAGAATATACTATTTAAAACATCAACTCCATTTCAAACAAATAGTTCAACCACTGGCACCTGTTTTAAAATGTGCCCTCACCCTGGCAGGTTTGCTCAGTGGTTAGAATACTGGCCTGCAGACTGAAGGGTATCAGGTTCAATTCCTGGTCTAGGGCATGTACCTCAGTTGCAGGTTCAATCCCTGGCCCCAGTCAGAGCACGTGCAGGAGGCAACCAATCAATAATGTCTGTCTGTCTGTCTGTCTGTCTCTCTCCTTCATCCTCCCTCCCTTTCATTTCATTTCACTTTCTCTAAAGATCAATGGAAAAAATATCCTTGGGCAAGGACAAAAATGAATAAATAAATGAATAAATAAATGAATAAATAAATAAATAAATAAGTGCCACAACAAGAAGGCATTAGCTCTAGCCTGGAATTGAATAGTGGTGTGGGCTTGAGCAAGGGTCTAGCATCCAAACCTGTTTCCTAGAAAACACATTTACTCATTGTGAGTAAATGAGATAAAATATACCAATTTCCAGATCACTACATAAATTGTAACTATGAAATATATATTCAGGATCAATGCTAAGCCCGTATAGATGAGCAGTCCAATATCAGGCACTGATAGCATGATTTCATGGGAAAATACAGCAAGATCTTAAAAATACACTAGTCATATTTTTTATTCTTACTGACAAGGAGACTATAACATTCCTTCATAAAATAGCATACAATTAGGTTCCCCACCCCTCAAAGAAGTTATTAATGTCTGACAATTAAAAAGTATAAGTACAGGTACCCCAATATAAGAAGCCCACGACTACATAGGTATATTTAATTAACTCACCCATAGGAAGCATGGTAGCAATGAAAGAGCATGGTAGGGAGTCTGATGATTTCAGCCTCACCACTTACTACATGTGTTTAAGTTGCTTATCTATCTTTTCTGAACTTGAAAATCTCTAATTCACATGAATGGTATTCATAAAGTTTGGAAAGGGTAAAATTATATACATAGGTGTTAATTTATTATTATATCCACATCTTGGTATACTCAATAAAATTTGGTTCTATTCTATTTCCCTTATAAAATATTAACTTCAGAAAGATAGGCAGTATTGGCCTGAGGTGGAGGGGGAGGCACCCTATGAATTTAGAGGCCCACTGATGTAGAAGGAGTTTACAGAGAAAGAGTAGTCAGTCCCCAACTGAGAAAAACACTGCCATCCAAGAGTTCATCTACAAGTCAGTTATGCGAAAAAAGAATTACTTTCTTTTTTCAGAAAAAAAATTTATTATTATAGTGTTTTTTCTTAAAGGCTCAAGCTACAAGTCACTGATATTAGCGCTCAGCTGAGAGCGCCACTCCTCTGGATTTCAGGGATAGAAAATTAATTTCAGCTTGTCTGATCTGTTCTGATGTCCCTAAAATAAATGTGTGACTTTTTTTTTGGTGGTTTTCCAGATTTCACCATTATTAACCATGGCAGAGACAAGAGATTTTAAAAAACGTGTTCCTTTCTATGTCCTATATCCCTATCCCAAGGATTCAGTTCTAAGTATAAAGAAACTCATTTATAATCACAGAATTTTTGAGATGCAGACCTGGAGTGTACTCCCATCAAACTGCAGACACAACTCCTCCTCCTCACCCTTTCACCAGCCCCCCTTCACCCTTCCCTCATTACCCATCTCAACACTATATGGAAGTAGAAGGGTGTCTGAGTGATAACAGTGGGTCATACTCAGTGGGTAAGACTTTAAAAAGATACATGTCGGAAGAATGCCAAGTTCTGAGGTTTTTTTTAGGGCAATTCGTGTGACCAGTGAGGATGATGAATCAGGGGCAGTACAGAGAAGAAATGAGATGTGGATACAATAACAAAGTAGTCAACACTAATGCTAAAGTAGAAGAAGTGTCCCTTTCTATGTCCTATATCCCTATCCCAAGGATTCAGTTCTAAGTATAAAGAAACTCATTTATAATCACAGAATTTTTGAGATGCAGACCTGGAGTGTACTCCCATCAAACTGCAGACACAACTCCTCCTCCTCACCCTTTCACCAGCCCCCCTTCACCCTTCCCTCATTACCCATCTCAACACTATATGGAAGTAGAAGGGTGTCTGGGTGATAACAGTGGGTCATACTCAGTGGGTAAGACTTTAAAAAGATACAATACATGTCGGAAGAATGCCAAGTTCTGAGGGGTTTTTTAGGGCAATTCGTGTGACCAGTGAGGATGATGAATCAGGGGCAGTACAGAGAAGAAATGAGATGTGGATACAATAACAAAGTAGTCAACACTAATGCTAAAGTAGAAGAAGTAATAATAGCAGCAAACACAGCACCAACCACAAGCTGGGCCCTGTTCAAAGCATATTACACAGTTAAGTCCTTTAGCCCTCACCTCATCCACTCACTTGAGGAAACAGAAGCACAGGAAGGCTAACTGACTTGCCCGAGGACATGCCACTAGAAGTGATGGAGCCAGGATTTCAGCCCAGGCAGTTTGGCTCCAGAGTTAATTAACAATTTAACTTCTCCAATATCCTGCCTCTTGATAGGAAGAAAATTCACCCTACCATTCTTATTCCTCTTTTCTAGTTAAATTTGAATTTCAGATGCATTAAAAAAAATTGCAGTATAAGTATATCCCATGCAATACTTGGGACATATTTATACTAAACACTAAGTTGTTGATTATCTAAAATTCAAATTTAGCCCTAGTTGGTTTTGCTCAGTGGATAGAGTGTTGGCCTACAGACTGAAGGGTCCCGGATTCAATTCCACTCAAGGGCACATTATCTAAAATTCAAATTTAGCCCTAGTTGGTTTTGCTCAGTGGATAGAGTGTTGGCCTACAGACTGAAGGGTCCCGGATTCAATTCCACTCAAGGGCACATGCATGCAGGAGGCAGCTGATCAATGATTCTCTCTCATCATTGATGTTTCTAACTCTCTCTCTCTCCCCTTCTCCCTTTCTCTCTGAAATCAATCTATATATATAAAAAGCCAGCGACCGGCACGCCAAAACGACTGAAACGACTGGTCACTATGACGCCCACTGAGGCCAGTGAACTGGCCCGATAGGGGGGCAGGGCTGGCCGTCCCACAGACCCTCCCCACGGCCGGCCCCACCCCCAATCGACCCCCACA